CTACTACGACATGAATCTCACAGCGCAGGAGCACCAAGCATGGTTCGGTCGGTACAAAATGCTATTAGATGAATTACGCGGCCGCCGAGGTTACACAGCGATGAATAACAGTGACTCCACATCTAAGACTTTAAAATTGATATTCTAGTACGTAAAAAAGAAGATATAACCATATTATGTATCAATGTTGTTTGTGTTGCATCGATTGTCTTCTTCTAGTTACACATTATTAGAAAAATGATTTGATTAGAATTTCATACATAAAGACTTAACGTTTGGCGTCACTCTACTTCCGTGCCGCGGCGGCGTTACCGACGGGACTTGTCTTGTGTGATGTATCCATGCTGCGGCAGGCGGCGGCGATAGCGGGGAGGAAGGCGAGGGCGGGGGCGAGGCCGGGGCCGGGGGCGGGGGCGGGGGCGCGGAGCAGGCGGCGGAGGCGCACATGGCGCGCGCGTGGCGCTCGAGGTCGCCGGGGGCGCGCGTGGCGGCGGCGCGGGCGGCGCTGGCGGAGCGCGCAGACTGCGCGGCCGCGCTGCTGCTGCTGGCGGAGGAGGACGCCCCGACCGTGCTCGAGGTACATTTGCCGTTAATGGATAAGTAAGAAAGCTCATACGGTATTTAACTTTATGTGCGGCGAAAGGTCAATACCAATTTTGAAGTAATTCAGCTAGATCATAGTTCCGGACTAAAAACTACTCCGTAAGAACTAATCCCGCTCGAACTTAAATAACGGTGATAAAATATAAGACCACGACATGATGAGACTTATCTATGTCTCTTATGGCGGCGCGCGTCAGGCGGAGCGCGTGCTGCGGCGCGCGTGGCGCGCGGGCGAGGCGGCGTGGCGCGCGCGCGGTGGGGCGGGGGCCGGGGTTGGGGCGGGGGCCGGGGGAGGCGCGCGCGCGCGGCGGTGCGCGGCGGTGCTGGCGCACGTGAAGCGGCGCGCGGCGATGTGCGCGCGGCGGCTGGGGCGGCTGCGCGACGCGGCGCGCATGTTCCGGGAGCTGGCGCGCGACGCGCCGCCCGCGCTGGCGCCGCTCGCCACGCACGAGAACCTCATCGAGGTGCTGCTCGAGCAACGCGCCTACGCCGACGTCCAGGTCCTTACCCCTTCTCTTTTCTTAATTCCAAAATAGCAGCATAGGACATCGAAAGACGGCAACGGAGAAACGGCGGGGGGCGCGGCCACCGGTCGACGATACTTCGTGGACATAAAGTAAAAATAAAATGATCTCGGCATTCTTGAAAACGTGACGATTCCGCGTCCGGTGAGAAGGCTCGAGGACGGTGGGTGAGTGAGAGGTGTGCGTGCGCAGGCGCTGGTGTCGCGCTACGAGGAGTGCGCGGCGTCGCGCTCGGCGGTGACGGTGTACACGGCGGCGCTGCTGCGCGCGCGCACCGCCGCCTGCGCCGCGCCGCCCGCGCGCACCGCCGCGGACCTCGCCGCGCTCGAGGTACGCCCGTACCCTTCTCGATACAAAATAATTTTCAAGACCTCGAGATGAGATCAATTTACGTACATCGTAGGACTTATGGCGGGGAGGTTCGCCCGCTGCAATACCACGACCGCACAGAAGCCGGGCGTCAAGAGGAAACACCTCCTCGTCCAGTCAGGCGAGTGTGCGCGCCGGACGTCTAGTTTTAGTTCCCTTTCCACCCTGTTTTAATAGCGAAAAGCCGAGAAGAGGTAGGGGTTTCGACGGAGGGGTCAACATATGAAGGGGAAATATCCTCTTTCTGTGCTCCCCCTTTTCCGTCGATTAAAGGTAGACGACGCATCTACTAAACTAACTGCGGATGTGTGCGGGCGGCGGATGCCGTGCCGTGTTAAATAACGGGGGAAGCGGTGAAGTTGTTCGACGCAATGAGCCGGGAGTGGTGTGCGCAGGCGATGAGCCGCGCGGTGGAGTTCAACCCGCACGTGCCGGCGTACCTGCTGGAGCAGCGCGCGCTGGCTCTGCCGCCGGAGCACGTGGTGCGGCGCGGCGACAGCGAGGCGCTCGCCTACGCGTTCTGGCACCTGCGTCACTGGCGGCACGTGGATGGCGCGCTGCGGCTGCTGGCGCACGCGGCGCAGGCCACCTCCTCCCGGCCCGCGCGCTGCCTCGCCTGCAACGCGTGCGGCGACCGCGAGCTGCTGGGCGGGCGCGGGGGCTGGGGCCGGGGCGGGGGCTGGGGCTGGCGGCTGGCGGCGGGGGCGGCGCTGCTGGCGGCGGCGGGGGCGGCGCTGGCGCTGTGGGCGCAGCGGTGGCCGCGGGCGGCGGCGGCGGCGGCGCTGCTGCACCCCGCCGCGCTGCGCCGCCTGCTCACCGCGCTGTGAGTCTGCCGCTGCTGCAGTCCTCACTGTCCGCGTGTCCGCTCGTACATACATAAGTGCTACGTAAATATTTAAACAAATAGTTTTACGACGAGGGCATTGGGATTAAAATACTACTAGTTAGGTTTCTTTTAATATTTCAGAGACGGAGTGACAAACGTACAGAATCTCGAGCGCCGGATCAAAAGCTTTGTGAGGTTTGGGGATGTCAATATGTACTGCGGTCGTCGACCTCCAGGAATGCTGGGATCCGTCGCCTGAGATGTACTTGAACGCGCAACACGAAGTAGCCCGAATAGTCGACTGCGGTTGGATCCCGAAGAAACACATAAAAATAAAAAAAATATAGTAACACCAACGCAAATACAAATAAAAAATTACTTGGTGGTTTGAAGATTAATAAAATGGTGACACGTGACTGGGAACAGAAATAATCGAATAAAGGGAGAAGAATCCCCGCCGGCTCCTGCTTCTTGATGTTTCATTATTTACCAGCAGCTGTTGGCCGCGACTTCGTCTGCGATGTTGAATGTAATCGTGTCACTCGCTTAGTGCTCAATAAACTATCATTAAGTGACGCTCTCGTTTCATTTGGCCCGAGACTACCGACGAAGCAAACAGTCCGGAGGACACGCGTCATACGAAGGTAGGAAGGTTGACGCACACATTGATGAGCGGAATGAAATACACTAAACAATAATATCCAATAACTAATTCGCAGTTATTAGGAATTTTATTAAGTATTTGTAGCCACAGTGTCTAATCGTATGGTGGAGGGAATCAAATTATAAGAAAAGTTACAAAAGTTAATACAACTTTTAAACAAAAAGAGTTGGATTTTTATTAGTATTTTTCGTAGTATTCTTGTAGTTATATGCTCCACTAAAATTGATAACCTGCAGATCAGGTCACTGTTTACATGAGGGAACTAGATCAGTGAACCGGTTCGCGGCTCAGCTCAATTTGTACCTTTAGCGTTATGATTTTGTTTCGAGCTACGAACTGCGAGTCACAAGGCGAGAGCTACCATTTTAGCTTTTGAGCCGCAGCTCCGTTTTAAATCTATGTGATCTGTACTTTTAAACCGATTCAGAGCTGATTTACACACGACACGGCGTCTGACGTTTGGTTCTAGTTCAGTCGCGGCGCCGCATCGTCCGGAGCGCTTGTGTGCGCCGCTCGAGCGTTAGTTTCATCCAACTTTACGTAAACTTTAAGTTGCATAAAGTAATTGTATTTTAAAAATAGTGTTCTGGATATTTTTCTACTTTAATATATTTGTGTATTCATAGAATATTAATTTATTAATTTAAACATATATGAATTTCAGTAGAAAAGCATTGTGCAGCGGTAATTTGAATAGTCAAATGTTAAGGCAGAGGTGACAGTGTTGTGGTGGCGGCCCGGTCCGATAATATCGTTTACATTAGTATGAACGAGAAAGTAACTAATTTTTAACATTATTAGTTAGAATAATATAGACCGAATGGCGCGCTTTTTATCAAAAGTATATTACTTTGTATCCCAAGTCAAGTGTCAGATTGATTAGTGAGGGGAACCTAACGTTGATATTTTAATAAGGCTAGTTGCGCTGATACACCGGCACTAAAACTAAGTAGTGAGAGGAAAAGTCAAAGGGTCAAAACCAGAGATGCGAGGTGAGTAGTAGAGACCGAGGTGCCAGTAGCGTAGCAGGTTGCAGCTAACTGTGCACTTCAATAAATCTAAAGAGCTGTACATATTGTACTTAATTCAGTTTGAATGAATGTTTTCCACGGCAGCGGGAGCGGGAGCGGTGTGATAGCTTTGTTTCCTGTTATTTTATTGTTTCTATTGCTATTGACTCTATCGAGAAGGAACTCACTCGAGTTGTTCATTCTTCTTCCGTTGCTAGGAAACTTCCTAACACATAACTATGTGAATGAATTACATAATATAATGTGAATAATAGTTTTAAAATGAATTAGGTATTATGATATTAAATGAAAATGTCATATGAGAAAAGCAGAGCAGCTATCATCTACGAGCCTAAGACTGGGACATCAGGTTTCGTCTGTACGTTCAGAAGATAGAAAAGATAATTGCGTTTTTTCTACGGGTATACTGTGACTTTGAGCAATTAAACGTCTAATAAAAAATTATCTTGTAAAGTATACAAAATACCCCGACGTTAGTTGTGTCGTTCAGTGGACAGGGTGTTTGTGTCAGTGGGGTCTGAGTGAGCAACAGCTGTGGAGAGCGGCGTGCGGTGTGTGGTGTGGGGCATGGTGCGGGGGCGCAGGCGCTGGCGCAGGCGGGCCGATGAGCGCGCGCCTCGTGTTCAATGGGCTGACGGCGGAGCTGGGCGGGGAGCGTGCGGCGCCGCCCGCCTCTCCGGAGCCCTACCACGAGCTGGAGATATACCGGCAGCTGCTGGCACTACCGCGGCGTGCACGCACACCCGACCCTTCACCCCCGTCGCGTGAAGGTCGGTACCGTCTCCCTCGAATCCTGTCTTTCTTTATATCATAAGGTGCCAAACGAGCTAGCGGACGACTGAACTCGCTGAAATAGCGAAGCACCGTTCCCGTAGACATACGCAATTGCATATACGTTGCCTACCTTTAATCGACGGAGAAGGGGATGCAGAGAAAGATAATATTTTCCCTTTCCATGCATCCTCTCATTCGGAAAATCCAACTTCACTTCCCATCCTTTGCTTATAAGAAAAAAGGGTCGGAAGGGAAAGAAGACTACAATTAGGCCTCCGGGACGCACACTTATCAGACTAAAAGCGGAATTTCTTTTACTTCATGCCTGTCTTCTGTGTGGTCGTGTTGTTGCACCGGGCGAACCGTGTCCGTGCATTGTCATGCCTGCGAAGATTTTAAAGCGGACTCTACCAATGTTAAAAATGTCTCCATAACGTTGGCTTCATTTCCAACTTTGACTTATACTAAGCTCAACTTACTTTACTTATCAGCGGGCTCCTGTGTGAGCGACCTGTGGTGATACAAATGAATATCCAACTGTGTCTTGTTGTGGGCAGCAGAGCCGGAGCGGCGGTGTCGCACGCCGGCCCCGCGCCCCGCGCGCCCATCCTGCACCTGCCAGCACGCCGTGCGCCCCGCTAAGGTATTTTAACTGTCATGTTATCATAACACAAGTAGTTACGTGAAGTGAAAACTTTTTTAGGGAAATTGCGCTAACAGTTGAACGTAAAATGTGACGCAGTTAAAGTAAATGTAGAGGGGAAGCGTACAAAGTGTTGAGTTGAACTAAAACTCGAATACAGGATACCCTACTTGACTCCTGTGTCCAGGAGTAGGCTGGCAGCTACTGCATCCTGAAACGATACGGATAAGAAAATTTTGTTATGAGCACTCTGTTGTGTCGGTCACTCGGTGTCGAGTAGCCAAAACTTTCCTTAACTGTAAATTTTAGATGCTTGAAAAGTCAAACATTGGATGATTTATGATGTGAATTCGGAAAGTGAGAGATTAAAAAGTTGAAAGCCGAGTGTGTTCACGAGTTGCCATAAGTTGGTAGCCGTTCTTCGGAGTTGCCGCAAGTTGCCGACAGTTGCCGGCGCCAGGTGATTGATGCTGCTGGGCGCTAAGACACCTCATGCTGGCCGCCATACTATTACTTTTTGTGCAGGGCCGCGCGCCTTTTCTTTGAACTTATATAAAAACGGCTAAACACTGACGTATATTCGTTCGGTGGCGGCACCGAATAGTTTCGAGCCCATTGGGGAACCTTCATCAGGGTGAGCGAGTTTCGCGGACTTGGCCCGCCGCTCACACACACTTTTGTTTGAAGCCGAAGATGTTTAGCTGAACATGATGCTTAGTAATTGACCTGGCTAACGTGTGTAATGTAAACTTTTATGTAATGGTTGCGCTATAGACAACGGAATGAACAATACATTACACCTAAATATATTTTTGACAATTGCTTTGGTTTGCTTTTTTTAATTTTTAAAGTTATCTAAGTCTTCTACTTCTTCTACTGATCATTTAAATTGAATTTAACATTAGAGTAACAGCTCGTTTGGTTTATAACTTGTACTTCCTTTACTAGAAGTAAGTAAAAAGTGTGCGATTTTTTGAATATGGCGAAGTTTCACGTCAGCCGCATTGTTAGGCGGCGGGCGGCGGGCGGCGGGCGGCGGAGGCAGGCGCTATGTCATGATACTATTCAAATTAGAGTTGGGCTGCGAAGTGTCGGTTCCGACTCCGGCGCGCATGCAAATGCCTTTTCCATTTCAATATCGATGTCGAACGTAATGTTCGGAGAGTTGTCATTGAGAAGGGTCGCCGTACACCCGGGCCGTATGGTGCTGTTGGCGAATAACTCGCGAGCTGATGGACGATAATGTTCATCAAAAAGGTTTATTTTTGTGGGACTCTGCCGCATTTCACCAAACTTATGCGCAAACCACCTGAAGAAAATATTTTTGCCACATAAATACACTTATGGAGACCGAGTGCCGCGTCGTGTGGGGCTCGTGAGGGTATTTGCAAACAGGGTCTATTTCCCGGAGCAATTTATTCCTAGAATATTCCCGTGATGTTGAGTTATGAACAACATTATCCTTTTTGGAACGTTACGTGTATTTTATTGCCCTTTTATTCGGTTCCCTTACGGTTTTGTTATCTCCGAATTATAAGTTTGTTTAGCTGTTGGTTTACTTAAATATGGTTTGTCAAAAGTAACTTAGGTGCAATACATCTCTCCGCTCTTAAAAGAGTTTGTTTCAGTTCATACAAAATATAATATGCTTCGAGAGCGGGGGAGCTAATCGGATTCCTTTTTAATTTCATCAGCAACTCTTTGCGGCGGCACTTTCTTTTGTAAAGCATAATGTGATTTGTGCAATAATCAATGAATACAGTTTATTATATAATGTTTTTAACCAAGTTCGTACATAAAATTATCTCTATAAGTATACGACACGACGACTATGTGACAGTCCTCTTGTTAATCATCATAAGTGTGCGTGCGTAGTTGAAGGAGAGTGAAGGAGAGTGAAGGGGAGCGGGGAGCATGTGTTCTAGTTGTATTTGCGTGGAGTTGTCGGAAAGGATATGGATAAGTGATGTAGTAGGTACACTCGATATATTAAGTACAAGTACTGCCTACCCCTTTGAGGTACAGGCGCGAGTTCTGTTGTTGTAATTATTAACGACACTTGAACCTCGCGTAGAAGCCAGATGCCCTTATTAAAGGTAGGCCGAAGTTAAGTTCTGTTGGTACAATTGACTACTTTCGTTTATTATTGCAAAGTTCCTAATAAAGTTAGGTATCGCTACATTCAACGAGTTCCTCCGTATCCCGCCGCGCCCCGCACCCTACGTGTCACGCCCTCGCCCCGAACACCGCGCCTGGAGCAGAGACGCCGCTGAATATTTATAAGCGGCTGCGTGTTAATTGCCTCGTCGGCGGTGCCGTGTAACCTGCGCCTTGACACCTACGATCTGCGCCTTCACTCCAATTAACACTACATACTGTATAAAACTGCCAGCACTGGAACTGTCTCGGAGTATGCACTGTAACGGACTTTTGCCTTCGTTAACTGTACAAATTGTAACAATAGTCAAAAACGTAAAAATAAGAACTCCTTATTGAGTAATTTTTTTTTTCTACTTCTGACCAACCAACATCCGGTCAACAGATGAGGTTTCTTTGTGACAATGTACAACATTGCTATACAACATATTTATTAAAATCATTTCTGCGGAAACGCATCGTTTATTATCTGCGATGTGACTCTACTCTCTTTGTATAAAACAACGTAGGTATTGTGTCGCCAGTGCTCTCGCGAGGAATATCAATTGATGTTTACAAAAATGTTGACGTAGCGAAAATCGTAGCGTTGCCTAGCATCCCTATTGGAGATCCAACATACACTATACACAAACCGACTTGACGAAAAATATAAAAACAAATGTCGCTACTCGCTTTTAGCCTGTGGAGGTGAATGGTCTGTGGTGTGGTGGTCATCACCCTGTCCGGTCATCCGTTGTTTTATTCCCACTCTCTTCATGCTACCCACATTAACATATTCATATGTTGACGTGGGTAGCATGAAGTCACATATGTAGAAGTCATAAATAAAGCCCGGAAGAAATTTTCATGCACAATTTTATAGATGTACCAAATGATTATAAATTAGAAAGCACAGTGAGTCCTCTTCTACTCATACATACTCTCACCGAGAGGGTCTGGGGCAACCTAAGTTAAAGGAGTTACGAGACCACAGCCAACCACTATGGCGCAGCCAATACTCGTACGTACGAGAATTTCGTGTTGCGATATGTGACAAATGTAGTACAAAAACTCAAAATAAAGTATAGTTTTTATTTTGGTTTTCTCCTCATTTTAAGTTTGATGAAAAAAAAGCCCATGTTTCCTCTTAAAAGAATGTCTTTGTGTGAGCAATAACATTCTTTATCTATTTTGTTACTGCAGGTAACATGCAGTTTATCATTGTTTGTTGTGAAGGCTGAGATCCGAACATGTCGTGTCTTCTATCTTCTTTCATTGCAATTGACAATTGACGCTGACCCCACCATAGTATTCTGTTGTTATCGCTAGATGTTTTGCAATCTAAACAAATAGGTGGATCGTGCCAGCGGGGCCGGCGCGGCGGGCGCGCGTTTGCGGTGCCAATAAAATAGCAATCACGAGCTCAATTACACCGATATCTGGAATTGTATTTTGCCAATTGACACTTTGTCACGAGATATATGTATACACGTTATGTTGTAAAAAAGATAACAGACTGAAAACGGATTTTATGATTCTGGGTACAGGAGGAGGGCGGGGGATGGGGGCAGCGGCGCGGCTAATTGCAATGTTTCCGCGACTCGCCCCGCGTGCGCCAATTCCACCGAAAAATTGTGTGCTGATAAATTCCCCATAAGCATGTATATTAATTTTTTATAATAACAATTTTATTTTTCTCAAATTGCATTGGGATTATATTTTGTGCAGAAAACACATCGCATAATTTGCAATAAGTTTGCGTCGTATCTGCACGCAAAGTAAGTCGGTGAAGGTGTTTGTATGTTTAGCTTTGTCGGAGATTTTTGTATTTTATAGATCGTCATCCGACATCAGGATGATTTTTTTTCTTTAATAATTAAATAGAAAAAAATATTTCTTCACAAAATGTCATTGCTCTTGGCAGAAAAAGCTTTAACACAAGAAAAAGAGAAAGACTTCAAAGTAAGAATTACGTAACATAAAGCTTAAATATGACGTGTTTGTTGCATTCGTACATTTCATTTGGTTACGTTCCACAGTACGAACGCACTTGTGCGCATTGTGTATGTACTGTATATGAAATGAAATAAAAAATAATAATTAACAAACAAAATGCAGGAAGGAATGTTTGCGCGCGCACAGCGACACCGGCCTTGCTACGTATTTCGTAGCTCGAATTTCATTGAGTATCAACTATGTAAAATCTAAATACATATGTCCAACATCGAAACGAGTCCAGAGCAGGCGAGCTTGCTGCTGTCTGTAGTGTGTACTCTGTGCACAAATTATCAGCTCTCCCATCACTACTACTCTACTCTGTGGAGGTCACACATTACTCTCTAGATAATTATCCCCCAATTTTTCTTTTGACGCATCGCAACAATTCAAAAATAGTCACGTATTTTAAAAGAAAGTGTAAATGGTAACAGTGAATATACTATGAGGACAAAGACAGCTTTAAACTGAATCACGTGTTTCCAGTTATTTCACTCCATACAGTTTTTAAGACGCTGCCGCCGCCGCCGCACCGCACCGCTCCGCTCCGCCTGGCAATGCGAATGACTACGAAACTTTCTCAACTTTTCTTCTTACTCACTGCTATTTTTCGTTTTTGTTTCGTTGACGTGGTGACGTTGTTTTTTGTTGTTCCAGCTTTACCGCTGAGGTCTTTTTTACATCACTTTCTATTTTTTCCGTGCCTGTAAATAATTTCCCAAAATGTTGTAAGTGCCCGACCTAGCCTGGTTTACAGAAATTCTACATTGTATTAACAGGAAATTTTGCATATTGTGCTTAATTTACACTAAAACACCTTGGAAGGAGAATTTGAACCAGTTATACAGCGAATAAAGTATTCAGCTGGC